TCCTTAACCTCATGTGTACATTAAAAACAGTATATATGGATAAGTAGGTCCCGATCTCGCTCAGCCGCTGCTATAGCTACACCATTGTCTTCGAAATGCCGTTCAGCGGTTTCTTTAACGCGCTGCAGGACATCGGGAGTCAGCTTCTTCCTGTTGTTTCCACATCTGCACTGGGTATTCATGACTCTTCTGTAGGCAAGGATGATGTTTCTTGCAGTGCTCTCGTTCAGATCAGCGACTTCGTCGGTTTTTTTGCCGTCGACGAATACAAGCTTTGTGAAGATCTGTTTTTGTGCCATTGATGTTCACTTGTACCACCTCGGTCTCGAAGATGCGTTCTCTCGTTGCTTGTCACTCATTTTGATATTTTGGTGCAACACAAGACTAATAAAGATGTGTTGGCTTTGGTAGGGTCATGATAACCTACACTATTCCAATAGTCTTGCAGCTGCATAGGTTCGCCCACACACACACACACACCGAAAATATGCCAAGGCCCAAAGAGTGACAGGGAAAACTGGGTCACCTGATTTGATCAAGGTGTACGACTCAATTTCTCAATAAACTATCTCCAGAATCGCCCACTGCTTGCACAGTGACGTTGCATTCATGTAAGCACATTGTGGCCGGAACATCGCTCAGTCACCTCACTCCCTTATTTGATTGCAAACTTCAGCTGCAGGCTATTAAAGCTAGACTGTGTTTGGTGGAGTCATAATAAATAAATAAATATTTTATTCTCGACAAAGCGAGACACGCCTTTTGGGCATGATCAGCATATTGCAATATTGTACATGATAGCAGAATAAGCAGCACCAACAGCGGGAGTAGTACATTTGGAGACAGTAGTGTGGGCCCATATGGCCCAAAGGTTGTATGAAGTCTATGTACACAGAATGCGAGAGGTAGAGATAATAATCAGATCACTAATATGGTATGTTGATTGATACGTATTACTCGAGTATTGCTGGATCGCACCTGGACCCTTAGTCCGCGCAAGAAGTGAATAAGAACACACACCGGATAGGACGTGTCAAAAACTGTAATAGATAGCTTGTAGGTTACATCAGATGAATAAGTCGAAAAGGAACCAATCAGCACAAGAAAAAAGAGTGGACGAATCAGCTATCGGTCAATCGATCTGTATGTGTCTGTGTTTGCTCAGCGGTTTAGCGGACGACACACACATGTAACATCCCCTCACGTGACAGATGGAATCACAGTTGTGAAATGTAACGTTCTATCGGCTTAGGTGAGCGGTGCGGTTTCCGAATTGCAATCGGCTGATCGATTTCTTCCGTTTGGTTTTTGTTTGTCTCCTCCAGATCTTCTGGAACCACTTTTTCTTCCCCAGGGTACGGTGCGGAAGTCATGTGATGAACGCCGTTGCTCTGCTGGTATTCTTTGAACGCTGCACTCGTAAATTGCGGACCGTTGTCAGTGACTAATGTTTTCGGTATGCCATGTGTAGATAGACTAGAGCGTACGCCATTGATTGTAGCTTCTGCAGTAGCTTTTGCAACAACATGCACATCAATCCATTTGGAGTACGCATCTACTAAAAGTAGCAACATTTTTCCTTTGATCGGGCCAAAGTAATCGGCGTGGACACGTTCCCATGGGCTGTCGGGCAACTGCCAAGGGTGAATTGGGCCTGTTGGATTATCTCTTTGATATTTTTGGCATGTGTTACAAGTACTCAAAAGTGTTTCGATGTCTCGGTCAATCGCTGGCCACCAGCAGTAGGATCTGGCGAGGGCTTTCATGCGGACCATACCTGGATGTGCATCATGTAATTCTTTCAGTACAGCTGACCTGAGAGTCAATGGAATAACGATGCGAGATCCACGTAGGATACATCCTTCATGCAGGCTCAGCTCAAATCTACAATTGAAAAACGGACGCAAATTACCAGGGGCTCGCGAACCCCAGCCACGCAGCAGCATACGTTTCACAGTCGATAGAACGGGATCTCTGTCTGTAGCTTTCCTAACCATGTCGCCAGATATGGGTGTAGTATTCAGATGTTGCAAAAGTTGAACAAACTCGTAGGGCGCGTCACTTCTTTCCTCCTGTTGGTCAATCTGTGGCAATCTACTGAGCGCATCAGCGACATTATTGTGAGGACCGGCAATGTATCGGATTTGATATTTGTAAGCAGAAAGTAGGAGGTCCCAGCGTACCATTCGGGGTGCGTTAAATTGTTCTATGCCTCGTTCCCTACCGAGAAGTGATAACAATGGTTTATGGTCAGTCTGTATCTCAAACTGGTTGCCCCACAAGTACTGATGGAACCGCTTTACTCCGAATACTACGGCCAGTGCTCCTTGTCTAATTGTGCGTAATTTTTCTCAGCAGGTTGTAGTGTGCGGGACGCGAAAGCAATAGGGCGAACTGTTCCGTCGTAGACTTTATGTCCCAGCACTGCCCCGACTCCAAAAGGTGAAGCATCACACTGTAGGATGAGGGGTTTGTTGGGGTCGTAATGTACCAAGACTGGTGAAGAAGCAAGGAGACCTTTTGCCCTGTCAAATGCTTGTTGCTCTTCCTCGCCCCATGCCCACTTAGAATCTTTTTTCAGCAAGTTGTGAAGTGGTGCTAGAACAGAAGCAAGATTAGGTAGGAACCGACGATAATGTGAAAGCATTCCAACGAACGAGCGTAACTGGGCTCCGTTACGAGGTGAGGGTGCAGAAATAATGGGTTGTAATTTATCTTTCCGCGCGTGTAAACCATGCTTGTCCAGTCTATAACCGAGGTAGTCAACTGAATCAACTAGGAAAGCACATTTGGAGCGTTTCAAACGCAAACCGTGTTCAGAGAGTTTATGCAACACCCGGTCCAACGTGTACAAGTGCTCCTTTTCTGTGCGACCCGTGATAAGGATATCATCGAGATATGCGCAAGTGTTCGGTATGTCACGCACGATATTGTCAAATATCCTTTGGAAGATCGCCGGCGCTGAGTTAATCCCGAAAGGCATTCTAGTGTATTCGAATAGCCCCAAATGTGTACTGATCGTCGTAAGGCGTCGGGAGGTCTCATCCAACTCTACCTGCGAACAGGCGTGACTCAAATCCAATTTAGTGAACTTGACTCCTCCAGACAAGTTGGCATACAAATCCTCAATTTTCGGTAATGGATAACGGTCTATGATGGCACCTCGATTTACTGTAAGCTTATAATCACCACAGATTCGTACGTTACCGTCAGGCTTAAGTACAGGCACTATCGGGGCCGCCCATTCAGCTTGTTGGACTGTGTTATAACGCGGTGCCCTGCTCGCTCTCGACTGGTTGATTTACGCCTGCTGCTAAATCTGCGCCCTTACGCGTGCTCTGTTTAACGCCTTGGCAAACCCGACCGGAAGGAAGACAGAAGAGTACTCAGCAGACCAGAGTTCTATTAGGGCAAAGAAAGCTCATATTTATATGTCGGTATCACAATGCGGATTTGACTATACGCCCACGCTCCACACATACTTGTCCGCTCCATCTATCCAGTTCACCGTGTTGCTCGCGCATTCCAGTCTTCGTCCGCCTACGCAACGCACGGCAACGCGCGTGATGTCTGACGCGCGATTTCATCAGCTTCCGGTCAGGCCTTGGCGACAAGCCTGCTGTCTGACGCGCGATTTCATCAGCTCTCGGCTGGGTCCTGCTAACACGCTCGCAGGGACTTTCCCACACACGATAGGTGGCAAATGCGCGAGCGTTGGCACTCAGCTTTCTCGCCCAGCTGTCACCTCCCCTTCCGAATTGAGTCACCTTGCACACCCTTCGAACCTGATTGTGTTCGTAGCTTTTCGCCCGGGGATCGATTTGCAGCCGTTCTGGTCTTCTCCGCTTCCGAGCCGGCCTGCATTGTGCATCTGATTTTTGCGGCATTTGTTTCGTCACACCTGGTTGCTGACCCTCAGCTTCCAGCCCGAACGTGTCTAGTAGGATGTCCCAATGTAAAGCTGGTGGTTCTTGGGGACCTTGGGTTTTGCCATGATTCGGTCTCAACTGATTGATGTGCCTAATCCATCTCTCACGTCCAACCATCACCTCATAGATAACTCTGCCTTTCCTGCTGATAACAGTTCCGCTCGACCACCCCTTCGGCCTTCGAAAATCCCGGGCGTAAACCATGTCACCAACATTGAAATTACGGAGCTTGGTTTTGCAATCTTCCTCCAGGTGACTGTTGCCGTGCTTTTCTATTCTTCTTGGTAAAAGATTATCGAACAACGTCCGAATCTTTCTTCCAAATAGTACTTCTGTGGGGGCTTTCCCATCAGGGGAGTTTGGATTCGGAGCGTTCCGATACATGCATAGGAAAGATTGAATTGCATCCTGTGAAGCCCTTATTTGCCCTGCTTTACGGAGTGCACGTTTGAACGTGTCCACAAACCTTTCCGCCTGTCCGTTTGATTGCGGATGATATGGTGGTGAGAACATCTGCTGAATTCCCTTTTCCTTGCACCACTCGCGAAAAGAAGTCGAGGTAAATTGTGTTCCATTGTCTGTCACTAACACCTCTGGCAGGCCGAAATATCGGAACAGCTTCTCCAGCTCGTTGACAGTGTGCTGTGCAGTCGGATTGTTTACCGGAATCACATCAGGCCACTTGGTGAATGAGTCAACCAAAACGAGATAGGATTGGCCATTGATTGGTCCTGCATAGTCTAAGTGTATTCGTTGCCACGGTTTCTCTGCCTTAGGCCAAGGTTGCCACTGACACTTGGGAGGAGCCTTCGCTGCAAGTTGACAAGATTCACACTGTTGGCAGAATTTTTCAATTTCCGAATCCATTTCTGGCCAGTAAACAAAACTGCGTGCCAAGGCTTTCATGCGGCTGGTACCAGGGTGCCCCGTGTGGAACTGCTGCAATATTTGCCTCTGTAATTTCCTTGGCACCACCACTCGATCTCCAAACATCAGACAATTGTCCACGACTGACAGGGATCCACGTCGATGGTAAAACGGCCGCAACTCCATAGGTAGGCCTCCATTTGGCCAACATGTTCGTACACAATGCATCGCTTTCTCCAAGATTCTGTCCCGTGATGTCTCCATACGAATAGTGTCGGCTGTTACTGGTAGTCTTCTCACATTATCAGCCAGGATTCGTTGGACTTCTGCTTCGAAACTGATAGCTGCAATCACACAATCATCATTCTCCTTTGGGTGTGAACTGATGAGACGAGACAGGGCATCCGCTTGACCGATCTGTTGCGTCGGCTTATACTGTATGCTGAAGTCGTAGGCCAGTAGTATGGTCGCCCATCGTTGCAATCGGTTCGCCGTAAAAACTGGAATTCCTTTCTTTGAACCAAATATCGACAGAAGTGGCTTGTGGTCAGTCAGGAGCGTGAAATGTCTGCCATACAACATCTTATGAAACCGTTTCATTGCGAAAACAATCGCGAGCGCTTCCTTCTCTATCTGGCTATAGTTCTTTTCAGCTGGCGTTAGTGACCGTGCTGCGTGCGCGATAGCCTTCTCTCCTCCATGCGGAAAAACGTGGGAAATAACTGCACCGACACCATAATTGGAAGCATCCGTAGCAACGACAATTTTGAAATTCGGATTGAAATGAGTCAAGAGTAGATCAGAGGTGAGAGCTGCTTTGACTGCATCAAAAGACTGCTGGCACTCCTTCGTCCATTTCCAACCCTTGTCTTTTGTCAGTAGCTGGTTCAGCGGACCTCTGAGCTGATGAAGGCTTGGTAGGAAAGCACTGTAATGGCTAACGAGCCCAAGAAACGAGCGGAGCTCTGCAATGTCTTCTGGTGGCTTCATCTTTTTGATGGCTTCAATATTGGCGGGATCCGGGCGCCGGCCATGTTTGTCGATGATAAACCCAAGAAATTTGACACTTTCTAATAGGAACTCACATTTTTCAGCCCGTAATCGGAATCCAGCTTCCTGAAGACGCGAAAGCACTCTCTCCAGTGTCTGTATCAAGTCTTGCGGATCTGAACCCATAATCAACGCATCGTCTAGGTATACTGCTGTATTTGGGATATCGCTCAGCAGGGTATCCATTATTTGTTGAAAAATGGCCGGTGCGGTTTTCACTCCGAACGGCAGCCGGTTGTACTGAAAAAGTCCGAGGTGAGTATTTACTGTCAGCAATGTTCTGCACTGATTGGCAACTGGGATTTGCAGGTACGCATCAGCTAGGTCAAGTTTTGCGAAACATTTCCCCCCATTGAGTTTGCTGAACAAGTCTTCTGGTACCGGCAGGGGATACTGGTGATCTTCCAACACAGAATTCAAACCTGTCGAGAAATCAGCACAAATACGAACTTTACCGTTTCCTTTCTTTACCACCACGATAGGTGCTGCCCATTCGGAGTAGTGAACTCGTTCGATTATCCCTTCAGATTGTAGTCGGTTTAACTCGGCTTCCACTAAGGACTGGGTTGCGTAGGGCACCGGGCGTCTTGGTCTAAAGACTGGCTTGGCGTCTGGTTTAAGGTTCAATGAGGCAGTAGCTATGTTGCAGCATCCGAGACCAGGTTGAAACAATGCATCGTGACGTCGTTTTATCTCGGCAATCTGACTTTGAAACATCGGGCTTGAAGGTGACGGTTGTGACAGCAGATTGACTTGCGGTGGCTGACAAATACTGTTCACTGATTGATCAAGCAGTTTCAGTTCATCCATCCAGTCGAGCCCCAACAAATCTAACCCCGGCTGGTCTGTCACGAAACATGTCGTCTGGATTTGTTTATCGCGGAAGTTTACTTGACAATTCAGTTCACCCAGCAATTTCAACGTACCTCCTGAAGCATTCCGTGCCGTGTGGTCCGTTTGTATGAGTGTTGGTCGCCCAAGCATGCACCAAGTGTCGCGAGATATCAGGGTGATATCAGAAGCCGTGTCAATTTGTAACTTGACTTGGAAGCCGTTGATTTTCACAATTGTGTATTTGCGCTTGCTGGCCCCGTCAACCTTGAATGTTGCGGTGATAGATCTGGTCAAATTGGGACGCCGGAACGGTCTGGTATTGTTACGCATCTTCTTGGTCAAAATTGGACGAGTCGCCAGGCAACACGACTCCTTATGCCCTTTTCTGCCGCAACGGTTGCAAGTGTGAGTTTTGAATGGACACTCGCGGGCAAAATGCCACTCTCTACAAAACCAACATGCAGTGGGAGGTTTGGAATGCGGTGAACTCACGTGGGTAGCTTCTTTTCGGGGAGTACGGCTGACTGCACAGACAAAATCTTGCTCGTTCTGGTTGGACAACTGCTGGATCATTGCGGTATCGTGTTTCAGATTCGTCATGCGTTGGCACTCACCGGTCACTTGCTGCAATGTGACATCCGGATTCTGCTCAATTTTGTTCAGTATTCGTGTTCGAATATCGGCGTCTTTGGATGCTTGTAGGCCACAGACGTATATGAGACATTTAAACTGATCACTTGTCATCTTGTGTAGTTGTGACCGTTCGCACTCTCGATTCACACGGCTGGAATAGTCGACCCAGTCTTCGTCTTCTTTTTTGTTATTGTCAGACACTTGTACCGGATGTTGAACAAGGATGTCTGTTCTCCGAAAATCTGCGACAGGACTGTAACCACTTCGTCGAACGACAAATCGGTACTCTTTTTGGGTAAGATAAAATTGGTGAACTTCTCGTGTTCGGCAGCACCCAGCTTCCGCAGCATTAGTCGAATCTTCTTTTCTGCTGGAAGGTTGGCAAAATCAACCCGGAACATATCTTCATACTTGTGGAACCAAGAAACAAATGTTATACCGGCATCAGCGTCATAATGGAATTCACTGATCTGCTGAGTCAGGGTTTCTGGTGAGAGGGCACCTTCACTTGTCCCTAACCCTGGGCTTGACTGCACTGTCATCTTCTGAGTTAGCATCTCGATCAGCTTGGTTTGGGATGCTTCAAACTGTGCCTGTTGTTGCTGCAACAGCATCTGCAATTGTTCAAAGCTGATTGCCATTTCTGGGTTCGGTTGTACTCGCGTCGCCACTGTTATAACGCTGTGCCCTGCTCGCTCTCGACTGGTTGATTTACGCCTGCTGCTAAATCTGCGCCCTTACGCGTGCTCTGTTTAACGCCTTGGCAAACCCGACCGGAAGGAAGACAGAAGAGTACTCAGCAGACCAGAGTTCTATTAAGGCAAAGAAAGCTCATATTTATAAGTCGGTATCACAATGCGGATTTGACTATACGCCCACGCTCCACACATACTTGTCCGCTCCATCTATCTAGTTCACCGTGTTGCTCGCGCATTCCAGTCTTCGTCCGCCTACGCAACGCACGGCAACGCGCGTGATGTCTGACGCGCGATTTCATCAGCTCTCGGCTGGGTCCTGCTAACACGCTCGCAGGGACTTTCCCACACACGATAGGTGGCAAATGCGTGAGCGTTGGCACTCAGCTTTCTCGCCCAGCTGTCAGACTGGTACAATTATACCTTCTTTTTGAAGCCTTTTCAGCTCGTCTTCCACTCTAGGTCGTAAGGAATATCGTAGTGTTCTGGCCTTAAAGAACTTTGGTGTACCTGAGTCTGACATATGGATTTTTGCTTTGAATTATTGAGTCTGCCCAATTGCTGCTCGTCAAACACTTCTGGATATCGTTTAAGGACAGATTCAAAGGTATCCTCCCCCACGGAGTGGATAGTATTTAATACTTGTGGTAACATTTTCATCCAATCGCGACCAAGCAAATTGACTGGAGCCTGAGGCACGACATGAAGTACCAGACTGTGTGATCTACCCTGATGCTACACTCGTACCTGACACTTCCCAAGTAAATCAATCACTTCTCCTGTATAGGTTCTAAAAACGGTATCAGTCGGTTCCAGGTCGGGTAACGATGAGAGCGCGTTTTTACTAATCAATGTCACCGCGGAACCAGTATCCAATTCAAATAAAACAGGTTCGTTATTAACATGAAGCGTGATCCTATATGGAGACACTTTCGTCATAACTGAGCCGTTTGAAATTATATGGTTCATAAAATTTAGCTGGGAATCTGGGCACTCACCGTCGTCGGAGTTCAACGATTTGATCGAGACTTGTGACCGTGGGGAACGGCAAACACGTGCCAGGTGGCCAAGTTTTCCGCAATGTCTGCACTTTGTGCGAGTATGAGGACACTGGGTGGGAGAAGTGTGCTGATCCCCGCATCGGTAGCAGACGAACTTCCGTACCCTGTTTTCAGAGGATAACCATGGTGACAGTTTGTTTACACATTCCACAGGCTGGGGAGGGTTGAAGGTGGATAGTTGGGATTTTAGGTTTTCCCTTTGACGTACAAGGTTACACGCCATTTCCCAGGAAAGGGTTTCTTCCTCCTGTGACAATAATTTTTCCCTCGCACCATCTGTAACTCCACCAATTGGGCACTGGATTTTCATGACTTCTTCAAACCGACTTGAGGGAATGGTATTGTACCGGCATTCCGGTGTAGCTTGATGAATGCGGGCAATGAAATCATTTACACTTTCTCCGCATCGTTGCTGTAGCTTGAAAAACTGATAACGAGCGGAAAACACACTTTGTTGGATTCCCCACAATTCCTCAACCAACTGGATCACGTGCACAATACTGGTCTTAGCCATCAAGTTCATAGCGTCAAAATGACGTTGTCGTTCTGATCCAAAGGCTTGGCGGAATAACATAATCCAATGGGTATCGGATAACACGATAGAGGGGTTTAACACAGGAAAGAGAGTCATTTGATGTTGGAAAGATGTTTTCCACTGTATCCACAACTGTAGAGAGGGTTTTTCTGCACCATAAGGCCACAGACAAGACAGTCCCGCAAGAGGGCTCGTAGCAACCGTCGCCATTCGGATACGTATTACTCGAGTATTGCTGGATCGCACCTGGAACCTTAGTCCGCGCAAGAAGTGAATAAGAACACACACCGGATAGGACGTGTCAAAAACTGTAGTAGATAGCTTGTAGGTTACACCAGATGAATAAGTCGAAAGGAACCAATCAGCACAAGGAAAAAGAGTGGACGAATCAGCTATCGGTCAATCGATCTGTATGTGTCTGCGTTTGCTCATCGGCTCAGCGGTTTAGCGGACGACACACACATTTAACATTGATGAGGAACTAGTCCGATGAGGTCCCGTACGCAGTGTGGGTCAGGTGAGTGAAGTATGAGGAAACGGCTGAAAAATACTTAAGAATAGTGGCATGTCACTAATCACATACGTAGGCGTGTTCGTGCGAGAGCAGATATATGCACAGAACTTGTAAATGTGATATCGGTCAACTTGCCAATGTGTGTTAGGGGCGGTGACTTCATTGAGTGGCGAGTCACATCCGCCACGTCGCAGTGTTGTTAAACAGACATTTGTGGCTTTTTGTAGGGAAAACGCTTGCCAGACGAAGACCCACCACGTCCTGGAACACTGCCAGCTGATGATATGACATTGGCAAGATTGCATCTGACCGATTACCCTCGCGGATATTCGCAGTCACGTAACGCCAACTTGTTTCCCATGGCTGTGTAGTCGCCTTCGGAGTCGACTGCAAGTGGTTGGAGCTGTTGAAGTCGGACGACTCAGGTGACTTGTATTGAGTTGATTAGTTTTCTAGGTTCTTTAGTGTGTCAGGATTACGAAGTGTGGGTTTTTTCTTTGTTCTTTATTGATTCCGTGCCCATGGGAGCGTCGCAGGTATGTCCTCAGCGGTGTTCCGTGCAGGTAATGTTATTGAATGCGCATATCATCGGCCTGTATACCTCAGCCTACACAAAATGCGCGAAGGCCCGTAGGGTGACAGGGTCACCGCATATCTGCTTCATCAGTTACGGTCCCAATTGTCGAGTTGACCAAGGTTTACTTCAATAAGCATAGCGGTCCACATTGAGATTGCGCTTCGCAATATGCTTCACAATGACCATTCAAAGCTAGTTAACATTTGTTTGGGACCTAATAAACTGTGCAACTCGGGAGTCCAGTTATCACACAGCTACACAGGTTCATGCGTCAAAGCACAAGCACATAACCTACGCGAAGGACGATGGGGAGAGAGGAGGACACTCAGTCATCGCCTGTGATCGAGGTTCACGATGAAGGGAAGCGTTTACATTGGCACCCGCTGCTTACATAAATCGGTTGCATTAGCATGACTGATATATATTCTGGACATTGTCTGGTCGTCGTACTCTTCTTCTGCTTAGAATACAATGTGTCGAATTCGGTTTACACAATGCCCAATTTGTTTTGCAAAACTTCTACTTTAATGTGAAGATGGTTGTAGCGCTACAAAGCGTTTGGAAATTTAAGCTACGCGTTCCCCACCGGAAAATTCAACAAAAGACCAGATTCGGACCTGAGAAAACGGTGCTATTTGTACAAATTCATCGTACCAAAGTAGAAATTACCTTAACGGTTTTCCAAACACAAAAGTTTACCAACAGATTTCAATCAGTTCCACAAAAGATCCGTAAGCCAAGGTGCACACGAAACAAATGAACACAGAGGTGAGACCGAAGTTATGATAAGGCAATTGAGCCAATCGTAAGCGTCCGCCAACGGGAACGGGCTGAGGACAGACAGACCTGCCACACTGGATACATGAGTTGTGGGAACACAAAATCGCTTATGTCAAGAGAACAATGACAGGTCCATGGGGGCGGGGTGAAGTTAACATGAGTCACCGGGGTCACTCGCTAAGAGCATCGGGCAGAGAACAAAGGAATGGAAAGTAAGGAAGTTAGCAAACATAATCGATCCAGACGGCCGAGCAATGTAGAATTGGGCATTCAACATGGGAGAGACTGAGGTGGTCAAAGTTCTTTCTACAATGGTATAGATATTTCGCCCATACACATGTTAGCTCAAAAGTGCAAGCCTTTACCCGAAATAATCTCACTGAGCCGATTTTGTTGGATTTGAGATGCATAATCGTCGCGTTGTGCCACATGATTCTTCAAGCTAGCATGCAGCCATGCGCTGATGAATCTTACACAGCGAATTGTTCAATGGTTCAATGGTGTATGATGGGATAAAAAGCATAACTTTACAAGACCCACAGGATGGATATGCAAAAGAAAATTAAAATCAAAATGTTCCAACGTGGAACGTAAAGTATCAGTGGTTAAATCATTGCACTTTAGCAAAGTGTTGTGTATCGTTTATCACTAAGATGAAAATCTAAGAGTCTTTCGAATGTCATCATGTCTGGTGCGTTCACCACATAGTTTGGTAATGCATTCCAGTGAGAACAGATTCTAAGTGAGAAAAAATACTTTCTACAATTCAAACGAGAGTGTTGCGTCATTAGTTTCAGGTGGTTGCCTCGGTTTTGTTTGTATGGGGCTAGAGTCAATAGTGAAGTACATGGATGCTGGCTTTCGGTTAGTATCCGGTATGTGAGAATAAGATCTCCGCGAAGCCGTCGGTATTCTAATGAGAACACACCGAGTACACGAAGACGCAATGGAACAATGGTATATGACGGGTAAAAAAGCATACACTTAACGAGTCCCGCAGGTTGGCAATAGAAATACTAACAAATTGGCAAACCACATAAGTGGTTGAAGTAAGGAGCGTCAGTGAGATAAAGGGTAGAAGTATAACAGTTTTAGGGTGATAAAGTGGTACGACGCAAAACTGGCTAAGAAATTGTTATCGTTGGTGATGGTAGCAAATAAAAATGGAGTACTCACCGATTCGCACAGATTTACGACCGTGAATTTGGGGTGTAAATCCAAAGAGGCTGGTCAGCCTAAATATATACAAGCGTTTTCGTTCATAAAACAAAGCACAGGGCGCTCAATGCGACGTCCAATCGTTTTTTAAACGTATCTATTGTGGGGGCACAAACAACTGAGTTTGGAAGGGCGTTCCAGGGCCCGCAGACCCTGAGGGAGAAATAGGTTCTCCGACACTCTAAACGACTGTACTGTTGGCTCAGCTTTAAACTGTTAACGCGAAGGTTAGTGTCCGGGCTGAGCTTCAAGAGGTGGCGGCATACGTGACTGGGATCGCTCAATATCTGGTACACTAGTATGAGGTCTCCACGAAGTCGCCGGTACCGTCCGCTGAACACTCCGAGTATCTCCAGTCGTTCCTGGTAAGGAGCGTGGCGCAAGCCCTTGACGATTTTCGTTGCTCGACGCTGTGGGGTCTCAAGCGCTGCAAGGTCACGTTTTAGCCAGGGTTGCTAGGCCTGGATTGCATATTCGACGTGAGGACGCACGTAGGCATTCAGCATCAAAGAGAAGATGGATGGATCCAAAATTCCGAATGCTCTTCACAGGAGTCCAACGTGCTGGTTGCCCCTTTTAGAAGCGGAATCTGACTGTTTGGAACACCCGAGGTCTTCCTGTACCAGCACACGCAAGTCGCGTTCCTGAGTGGTGGTCTTCAGATCGTGTGCCCCAAGCTTGTAGACGTGGACTTGTCGATGGCGGATATGAACAACGCGACATTTGTTCACATTAAACGGCAGGGCGTTTCTCACCGACCAATTCCAGGCCTCATTCAAGTCACGCTGTAGGACTTCATGGTCATCCGGTCGTTTTATCACCCGCCAAACCTTGAGGTCGTCCGCGAAGAGTAAGAATTTTGACGTAATAACTCTTACTAGATCGTTAATGAAAAGCAGGAACAAACGAGGCCCAAGTACCGAACCCTGCGGTACGCCGCATCCCACTCGAATCGGATCGGAAAAGGATGATCGAACTCTAACTTCTAACTGCCGTTCAGAGAGAAAGTTACCGATCCATCCTAACAACGGGTCTCCGATACCGTACTGTTGGTGTTTAATGAGCAGGATTCGATGATCCAGGCGATCGAAGGCTTTCGAAAAGTCCAAGAATGCAACATCGACTCCTGTTCCCTCATCGACAGTCTCGGTCCAGTTGTCACGAGCTATCAGCAGATTCGTCGTACATGAACGATGTTGACGAAACCCATGCTGCTCTGGCGCAATTATGCCGTAGTTTTCCAAGTATCTCAATAACGCATCTGCTATCACCGCTTCTATGACTTTGGCGATCACAGGCAGAAGCGTTACGGGGCGGTAATTGGCAGGATCCGATCGACTTCCTGCTTTGTATATGGGCGTTATTACACCTTGTTTCCACCTCGAAGGTACGATGTTCTCTTCGAAACAGCGCTGAAAAAATGCAGCTAGTGGTTCGGCCAAGTGGATGGCAGCTACCTGTAATGTTTTCGGGTGAATGTTATCGGCCCCGGGAGAGCTGTGTGGACGCAAGGATAGCAGCTTTTGCAGCACCATTTCTGCAGTGAACGTGACGTTGGATAAAACGGACGGTGGGGTAACTAGTGGCGGAATATACGTCGAGGCTTGTACACCTTGGACCGGATAGTCCACGCGTTGCCTTTGTGGCTCTTCTTTGGGGCTGTTCCAAGAGGCGGATGTCTCGTTTTAACCATGGACACCAGGCCTGAATTGCATATTCAACATGAGGACGAATGTAGGAGTTAATCAACAATGGTACTAGCCGCCGCTCAAAAGTGCCGAGAGCTCGCCTCAAAAGTCGCAAGTTCAAGTTCGCCACACTTGCTGCTTTCGAACATTGGAGCGAATTTCCAAGACTCTCTTGCACGATTATACCTAAGTCGCGTTCACTAGTCACGTGTTGCATGACGTGTTGCCCCAAAAGGTATGTGTTGACGAAGCTGTTGTGCACCGTCAGCAGGTGGCACTTTGCAGGGTTCAGTGGGAGCTGGTTCTTTTCTGCCCATTCGTTAATCCGGGTCAGATCTTCCTGGAGGTAGACACGGTCGGATGCTGAGCGAATTGCTCTCCATATTTTAGCATCGTCTGCAAATATTTGCATTGGAGATAGAATGTTTGCTGGAAGGTCATTAATGTAGACTAAAAACAGTAGCGGACCGAGGACGGATCCTTGTGGTACACCACTGGAGACGTAAAGGCTTTCAGAATAGGTGTCGGCTACTCTTACCTTGATTGCTCTGTCGTGTAAGTAGTCTTCCAACCAGGTGAGCAGGGAACCGTTGATACCGTAGGCAGCAAGCTTTTGGAGGAGAAAGAAGTGATTGACCCTGTCGAATGCTTTAGAAAAATCCAGGTATATCACATCTATGGGCACTCCTTCATCAGCCGCCCTGGTCCATAAGTCCCGAGTAAGCAGCAAATTGGTGAGACAAGATCGTCTGCGTCGGAAACCATGTTGGGCATTAGAAATTATCTGTTGACTTTCAAAGTATCGCGTCAGTCCATCTGCGATTACCGATTCCATAACTTTTGATAAAACAGGAAGGAGAGTAATAGGTCGGTAGTTAGCAGGATCCGAGCGCTTACCTCCTTTATATATTGGAGTGATAATTCCATTTTTCCACTCAGATGGGAGTGTATGGGAGTTAAGCAGACCCTGGAAAAAGGTTGCAAGTGGTGCTGCTATGGTGGGAGCAAGCGTTTTTAGTACTTTTGGGCAGATCATGTCGATTCCAGGGGCACTGTACTCCCGGAGAGACTGTAGTTTGCTTGCAACAGCTGCTGGAGTAAAGGTGACGCTGGATAAGCCAACGACATTGGTTGGGAGTTGATAGGGCGAAGGTTCCATGACATTTGTAGCTACAGAGCCAAACTGCAAGAGTAGAGCGTTCGCGGCATCCACAGCAGTAGTTGTTAGGCCACTGGCCGTCCTGAGTGGTGGTATTCCGGGCTTAACCTTTCTTTTGCCATTCACAAATCTGTATAGCAGTTTGGTGTTACTCGTAAATTTCAGCACCATATTCTCCTGCCATTCGTACTTATCGACTCTAATGAGTGACGTGCAGTAGTTTCTGATGACTTTGTAATCCTGCCATGTGATATCACATGGGCTTAGCAAATGTTGCCTCCAGATTTCATCTCTTCTGTTGATCCATTTACGTGTTCTGCTCCGGATCCACGTATTGGTCCGGCGCGACGCTCGTAATGGTACAACCTTCGATGCTGATTGTATGACCCAGTTAATTTTGTCTTTCAATTCATTCCACGCGTCATTCGCTGAGCTGTGCGTCTGTAGGTCCCAGTCAACGGTTGCTGCTAAGCTGCGCAGCTTATAATAGTCCGTAATAGTTCGTTGAGTCTCACTTTCTTTAGCAACAATACTGGCATAACATACATAACCAAATGTTAGGACTGAATGGTCGCTACGGCCCAGTGGAGGATCGTATGCTACTGACTCAACCATCAACTCTTCATTAGTCAGGATTAAGTCCAGGAGTGATGGCTTGTTTGAACCGCGATGTCTGGTTGGTCGATGCACATGGTTATACAAAACTGCCATATCCATGAATTCGAGGAGTTTCGATTTAAATGATGGCCCATTAGGGGACATTGATGCTATTGAAGGAACATTAAAGTCACCCATTATAAGATAGTGAGAGTACTTTTGTGAAACAGCATAGCGGAGGGCGTTTAACAGAATGTTATCGCTGTCTGCTGATGAGTTCGGAGGTCTATAAATAACTGCTAAGAGGCAAGCATCACTCTTCTTCTGTGAACCAACATCTCGACCTGCTAGGTGCAGTCGACAAAATAGTGCGTCGGGAATAACAAGGGAATTTTCGGTAAGAGCCTCACATTTCAAATAATCTCGATAGTAGAGAGCAACACCGCCACCGCGAGATGGACGATCATTTCGAATGACTGACATCTCACTGAGTTCAATCTCTGGATCAAGTATGTCGTTTGAGAGCCAAGTTTCAGTAACTGCTATGAGGTCCCAAGTTGTTGTTTCATGTCAGTGGCGCAGCTCCGAGAGCTTAGAGTACAACCCCTGAGTGTTGGTGTAGCAGCATTGTATTTGTTGACGCATCAGGAGCTCGGTTCGCTGTGAGTGACCGGCACAAATAGTGCCGGTCTGCTGAAGTTTTTTGAAACGGTTATTTGCACAGTTGGCTGGTTTGAGATAGGTACAATTGAGGCTGGCTCATCTATATCTGAGGTCTGTACTAATTGAAGGAATGGTCTTAACCGTACTTCTGGTGGCCCAAGTTTCCTGTTGTCATGCCATGCTTGGATTGCCACTGATACCATTTCGGGCGCAGCCAAGGTAACTTTCAAAATTCGTGGCCCGCTACCTTGGTAGTTTGTGGAAGCAATTAGACGGGTGACGTCAAAAGCCACGACATTCTTCATGTCGTATAGTTCTGCGATGTACCGCCATTCTTCGATGTCGTGCTTCTGTCGTTCGCTGCTATCGTCATGCTTCAATTCTGGCACACCATGAACCAGTACCACTTTCTTCATCTCATTTTGACGTGACGAACTAGGGTTGGATTTACGCTTCTGTCTTTCTGCCCATGGCCTGTCAGGAAAAATGCGGGCACTGACAGAAGAGTTCACTAGCATGTGGCTTGCTAAGAGAACATCTTCCAGGTCGCGCGTGTTGCCAAACGTTACTCGCAGTAACCGAGGTTCCCCTAAGTGCGGAGATGATGGGTTTCGTGAAAGGCGTGTAAGACTAGTTGGGAGAACTTTCAGTCCGAGTGCGCAGGTTATTTCAGCCCACCGGTTTTGCTCCTCGGCTTGTCTACCTTTTAGCAATTCGCTAGTGGGTTCTGGGACGTTTGAACATATTACTGTCATCGTCTTTTGGTTGCGTAGTAATTGTTTGTTCTGCAGTTCCTTGTGAGCGTAGGTTTGTCTGGTGGGAGTGTCTGGATTGTCTTCCTTGGACGATTGGCCAAGGCTACAGCAAGAATTTTTACGTGCAACGCCGTTAGTTGCACTATCTGTAGGGGTCAATTGTTGTTGCCCAGCTACTGACGGAGGTGATCGTGCAATTTGTGCGTAACTCTGCACGCTTTGGCGCATTACGTGAGACTTGGGGTACCGTTCAAGCGGCCTGTTTTCACTGCTGTTTTTCACAAACGGTGTTTGCCTTTCGCTGGACTGGGTAGCACTGTTGCTAGAGAGCTTTTGCCTTTTAACAGGTCGGGGATTCGGGCTACGTAATGCACTAATCTGCAACTCGAGTTCTGAGATTTTCCCTCCCAATGCTGCGATCAGTTCCTTTTGGTCTGCAGACGTAACAGCCAATGCTTCACACCTTATCGTAAGTTTTTGAACAATCTTAATTATCGGACTATCTGAACATATGTCACAAAACCACAAGCTATCTGTCGATACGCTGTTAGCTCCGTTAAGTGTAATGTTTACATTTGTCGCGTCATATGAATTGGCACAGAACGAACACGTGATTTTCGAGTGGATTTCAGTTCCCCGCTTGTCTGAGCTACGGTTGACCTTAGGTTTGTTGCTCACTGGATTCCCGGTTGACAAACTTCTCCGGCCCATGGATCAACGGTCGGTATGCACTTTTAGGTTGCGTTGGTCACTCCGTTTGGGCTGCCGCAGTTGTCTGCTCCGGTCAGCGCGTTTGGGTGGTGCGTCACTAGGCGCACGGGTAGGCAAAATCACACAGGCTTTGTGCAGTGAAATGCACGTAAAAATATGGTGGTAAGGTGAGATGACAAAAATGCTTGTACCTATGGTATACCCTGGTGCACAGTACTAAGTTATATATTGTCTGACAGCCTTAAAGAAGATCTGTCGAATGGTATCCCAAAGGTACTGATGAAACTCAAATAAGCAAAGTTACTCAAGTTGGCCTTAGTGAATAGACTTCCGAAGACTTTGTTTGTGATGTACCAGCGTGTCGTTGGACTTACTTCAAATATATAGACGCCGTTGGATAGAGCTCAGTGATCCGAATCGATTGAGCGTACTTCCGGTGACGTGGCACAAGAATGTGAAGGGATACGTCCAATTTAACGCAGAGCACAGGATTGCACGATTAGCACGCACACGCTGACAACTGTTCGTCAACAACAAAAAATTGTGATGACAGATATCTCTGCTCCATTGCTATGGATAATGTAGTCTGCCGTAGAGCATTTTGTTGAACCATTTCATTGCAAAAGCTATCACCAGAGCTTCTCTCAGTCTGCCTTTCGTTTTATTTGCCACTGTCGGTGTCAAGATCAAGCCAAGAAAGTGCTTTAGCCATCCAGAATGGGTGAATAATCAACCGTAACACACACGCTTTCAGTGATGCAGCATGCTTTAAATGCAATTTAAAAAGTCCGGATTAATAAATGAGGAAACAATGCCATCATAGCATAATCTAGTCTGTTAATTCTCGTACAATTTTGTTTTGGTCCAGCGAAAATCGCATCAGGCAACGTGCTAAATGACGAACGGTACGCTCGTGTACAGGCCAATATGGATTTCTACTTAACTATGGTTTTATAGGTCGACACGCATTACGACAATTCGCTATGAAGGGGCTGACTTGTGTCTACATCAGTGGTTCCCAACCTTTTAGACGCCGTTACCCACAAAGGGGGTTGCCCACCAGACTTTTACCCCCAAACTTTCGAAAGACCACTACGTACTAACTATTGCACATTTCGCTCTAAGGTTCAAAAACAAATGTCATATGTAGTTTCACGTGCTCATGCAATTGAAGGAAACACCCCTTCTCACTACATAATTATCCGACTTAAGTACGAGAAGTGATCGGTATCCGGAATCTCCCTCGACAAATAAACGAAAGAAAACAGTACTTTTAATTCAAAATTCTATGCAAACAAGAGGCGATATACATCAATGAGACGGTTGGTATTGTTTGGTGGTAACAATTTCTGGTATATTTGGTGCAGTTTCGGCCAATGCACATCGCAAGTCGTGCTCCAAGTTCATTCGATTCCTTGCTTTTGTTTTCATTATCATCATTGTCGAAAATGCACTTTCACATTTATAAGTTGTTGCAAATGGGATCAATATTCTCAATGCGCTTTCCGACAGTAATGGATACTCTTCACCTATCTTTGCCCAAAATGTTACTAGTTGCGTGCTTTGCAAATCTACCTTCAATCCGCTGTCCTCGCGCATTCCTAGGAATTGTACCTTGATTTCGAATTCAGTATCTGGAAATATTCCTTCAGCTACTGTAAACGGTCTTAGCACCCAGGCACTTAATTGGCGAGTTTCCAAATCAGGAAAATATTTGCTGATGGAATTCATCACTGATGACAAGTGGCAAGATATTTCATTCGTGAATGCGCATTTTTCATTTCTTTCAACGAGCACCGTCGTTGGTTCTGGAAATATCGCCACGTCGTCAACATCAACCGAGCGCTGGTAAAGCTGCCGTTTGCGAAGGAAACCGGCTACTCTATCCTGAGCGACAAAAATGTTCATCATATTCCCTTGCAGGCTGAGGTTAAGCGCATTGATTTCTCCAAAGAAATCAGCAAGATAAGCAAGTTTCGAAATAAACACGCTGTCTGTTATAATAACGTGTAACTCGTTTCCCTTACCCTTATGCATCTCTTTTCTTCGAAGAAAGATTGCAATTTCCTCTCGAAGCTGAAGCACTCGGTGCGACACCCTGCCTCGTGACAACCAACGCACTTCTGTGTGCAATAGTAGCACGTCGAATTTGCCTCCAAATTCATTGCACAACTCTTGGAAGATTCTTGTGTGGGTCGCACTACCGCGGATGACATTTACTATCTTTACTACTTTGGTTAACACGTCAAGTAAAGCAGGTGGAAGAGTGCTCACTGCTAAAGCATAACGATGTATGATGCAGTGACTATAGGTAGCGTGCGGAGCAACATTTTTGACCAATGTTTGGAATCCGGAACGGACGCCCAACATGGCTGGTGCTCCGTCTGTGCAGACACCCACTAACATCCACCACAGTAGCATGTTTTCCTCGAGGAACTTCTTTACTATTCGGAAGACATCTTCGCTACGCGTAGTCGTGCTCAAGGATTCTGAGAACAAGTATTCTTCTTTGAAGCTATCACTTTTTAGGTACCGAACATACACAAGTAGTTGGGAACAGGACGCTACGTCGGTCGACTCATCTAACTGGATTGCAAAGAAGGGACTTGATCTTATTTTGTTGAGCACCGTGTTCAAAATTTGTTTGCTCATGTCCTCGATATGACTTTTGATGGTGTTGTTCGAAACTGATATCATATTAATCTTCTCCGCATGATGTTCTCCAAGAACGAGCTTAACCGCATCCTTTATGCAGGTCCTTTATGAGGTCCTCTCCTATGGTATGCGGCTTCTTGTATTTTACGATTCGAAGCGCAATGCGATACGAAGTTTCAAGGCCAGCCTCATTCGCCTGAGAAAAGGAGCTCGATGTATCCAGGCGCGAAAGTTTTAGCGCAGCTTATTTCCTTCTAAAGAATGTAATATATTTTCCTATCAAATGGGCATGGCTTCGTTCGAAGTGCTCTTTCAACTTACTAGGTTTCATACTCTCCGCCGTGAGCACTTTGCTGCACAAAACGCATTGCGGTTTCTCAACATTTTATCAGCGAAGTTAGGGAAGTCCCACTGCAGAAATGCTTCTTTGTAGGACCGCTTTTTTCTGGAAGACGTCTTCCCTGCAAACAATTAAGTAGGTAGATGTTACAGATATATATCATTTATGGAAATTAATCTCGTTATTCAATGCAGGTGCCATTATCGCAAACGTTCGCAGACAAATATATTTTTGTCGGTATCAAAGCCACTAAATGTAAATGCTCACCTGCCATGACTTCTCCTCAAAAACAACTGCTCATGAAAGTGATCAACATAACACCTAATGGTCACTGGCGTCCAATCTGCTGATTCCGTTGGTTGTGACCCCAGTTGTATCGTTTCTCTGCCCTTTCAAACGCCTACCGTTATCCCGATTCAGGCCCTCTCTTGACCCCATCGTGTCAGATTCTTAATCAAACATGAACATGTGTTTCATTCCTCCGTTCCACGTTATTCCTCGACATTTTCCCGACACCATTCTGTATCCATACCTTGTGAACACTAATCACCCTTTCTCGCCGTTCCTACTGTCAAACATTCACCTGTGAACACAACTGGTACTTTGACCAGTGCTGAAACGATAGTTTGCTATCCACCCCGTTATTCGACCCGGTGAACGACTGGCTTATTCGAAAACACGGCAGCAGTTGTGGCAGTCGACAAAGGCGCCATGCCGTAGTAGCTGCATTGACTGATGACTAACTAAAAACGCTGAGCTAGTTGCGATGTGTGATTTCGTTATTAAGCTTATTTCGCGACTGATTTGTGACCAAATCCAGTTATCGGTATTTACTCCTCGGAAAATGCCATTTTACCCCCTTGGGGGTAACTACCCCCAGGTTGGGAAACCCTGGCTTACATGTACTGTGTTAACGCTAATCACATTAGTGCCAGCATGTGTGGACACAACTGTATCAACGAACGTCAGCTTCGGTACGCCGCTGTACCGTTACAAGTGTTTTAACGACCTGGTGACCAACCTAAAGTCCTTACCCAGTAGACCAGGAAAAATTACTGGTGAGCAGTACTTCCAGTGTGGAAGGACACAAGCGGTGACAAATCATGTGGAGGGGGAGGCAGAGGAAGCTCGCTGTCGTGAAGCGTAAAACCATAATCACCGGACTTTCGCGAACGTTTCTTCTAGATAATGTGACCAAGATAAAATGTAGCTTAGCATAACACCCATATACTTTAGTCATGTAGAAGCGCGCAATCTCGCTTCATCGATACTGAATTCCAGGCGTTCCTGGAGATGTTTTTTATTTATCTCCTTTCTGCAGTGAAAGAAATAACAGCATTGCATTTTGACACGTTGGGCCTTTGACCAGAAGGTAAGATCGTTAGGAATATCTTGCAGTGTTTCTTGCATCAGAGGCATTGGTCGATTGATTGACAATGTCGTCTGCGTATTCCAGCATATTTCCCTCTCCTGAGACCAGTATTACGCTTACATAGTTGGAAAAGAAAAGTGGTGACAGAATAGCTCTCTGAATAACACCGGCGTTCGTCATTAGAAGCGAAGAGCTTCTGACTATGAATCGGGTAACCTGAGTACGACCAATAAGATAACCCCCTTCAACAGGAGAACGATGGAAGAATATATTCTGACACCGAGTTTAGCTTTCAACAGCAATTCGCGGTTTACGTAGCCGAATGCGTTACTGTCGTCAGGTGAACTTGCTTCTGTCATCCAGAGATGATAGAACCGAGCACACAAAAGATGCTACCACTCCTTGGGCTGACCTCAAACTGCAGTAAGCAAATTGAAGAGGAATATTTCACAGTCAATAGCTTCATAAAAATGATTTTCTGCAACATCTTTAATACTACCGAACTACAAGTAATTGGTCTCTGTTTACTGCTGTGACTTCTGTGGTATCGGTGTGAAATTGGCGCCTCTCTAGCGGTCGCCAATTTTATGTTGTTGAATGCATCTTGTACGTAAAGTAGCCAGACGTTTGGCTAGGAAGTCAGCACATTCCTTATGGACAACGTGAGACAGTCTGTCCGCTTTGCTTGTGTGTTGGCCTTTTCTTCTCATCGGCGAACATTAGAGACCGCAATTTCCCACCATAATTGCAAGTGTCTATAGCGACAATAACCTTTGCCCTGAGTGTATTAACTGGTATCCTTATTTTATCATTATGAAGGGTGTAGTGGACTATAAATTGAAAATAATGGTTTGGCGCGCGTGTGTTATATAAGCTCTTTTGCAGTGACCATCTGTCAAGAGCCGACTGGTGATTCTAAGCCGTATAACTAATTGCTGGGAAAGGCCGGACAGCAGCGCACAAATCAGCGTCAGATGAAGTCAACGCGACACAAGCACCCCTGAAGGATTTTACCCAAATTCGTTGTTTTAAACAAGTGACACAAACTGGTGGGCAACTGAATGGAACAATGGTATATTACGGGCAAAAAAGCGGATGCTTAGCAAGTCCCGTAGGATGGCCAAAAAGAGAAACACAACATGGTGAATAGAAAAGAAAAAGCTAAAATGAAAATCATCTTGGTTGACTCATCCATGTTAACAGAGAGGCACGCAGAAAGAGCCAAACACAGTGGTTTAGGTGAATTCTGGTTGTGCAACGTTCGTCGCATTATATCGTTCATCGAGACACAGGCTATATTAAGTAGTGTAGGTGGGTTAGGGCAATATCAAGGCATTTTTCAACACAGGTAACGTGGGGGCAGAAACAACGTAACTTGGGAGGGCGTTCCAAGGCTGCCGCACACGAGGCGAGTAAAAGTTCTGTCGACATTCTAGCCGATTGTGTTGCGTGGCTAACTTGAACTGGTGGCCTCTCACATTCCTGTTGTGGCTGTGGACGTGGTTGGGGTTCCTTAGAATCTGGAAGGTCATAATAAGGTCGCCACGTAGGCGCCGGTACCGGCCACTGTATGATATTAGGGTCATCAGTCTAACTTGATAAGAAAGGTTGAACAACACTTTGACGTGCTTCGTGGCTCGTCGCTGTAAAGTCTCGAGTGCCGCAAGGTCTTGTTTACACCAGGGCTGCCGGGCTTGGATTGCGTATTTCACATGAGGCCACACGTATGTTTTAAGCAACTGCAATCAGACAGAGGGATCAAACCGCCCGAATGTCCTCTGCTGTATGCTAACCTGTTGGTTTCCAGTCTCTGACGCCTCCTCAGGTTGTTCTGAGCAGTCCGAATCAGTCTGGACTAGAACCCCAAGATCGCGATCCTGGGTAACTGCTTGCAGGACATGATCTCCAAGCTTGTATATAATGATCCGCTGGTGGCGAATGTGAATCGGTGTACACTTCTCCGAGTTGAAATAGAGTAGATTGTGGAGTGACCACCCATACCTTCTGTCCAGGTCTCGCTGAAGTGAATCGTGGTCTGCTGGGTCGGCGATTGTCCGCCACATCTTAACGTCGTTTGCGAACAGCAAGAAATCTGAAGTAATCAAACGCGTTAGCTCGTTAATTAACACGAGAAACAGACGCGGCCCCAGAACTGATCCTTGTGGAACTCAACATTCGACATAAATCGGATCGGACAGCGCATTTCGAACTCTGACCTGCAGTTGCCGATCCTGCAAGAAATTCCTGATCCACCCAAGGACTAGATCACCAACTCCATACCTTTTGAGCCTGTGAAGCAGAATGGGGTAGTCCAGTTGGTCGAAGGCTTTGGAGAAGTCGAGGTAAATGACGTCTGTCCCTACTGGAGTGTTAAAGACAAGGGAAGTGAAATATGGATTAGTCCCAACCACTAACAGCTGTTCACTGTGCCTCTAGTCTGGTCTGGTGAGCATTGGGTAGTGAAGCGCCGAAACCTACATACTGCTGAGGTTTTAAATTTTCATTTTTGCGCGTGATAAAAATGATGAAATACACTCCCATTAGCATTGGCTTTTAACAGTGTTTTTAGGAATTGCAACGATTTTTCAGTATTTCCATTCTGACTTTAGGTACAAAACTTCAGTGTCTTAGCAAATACCTAGAATAACGGGATTGTATTAGTGAATTCAATCGTTCTGTACGCTCGTGACTCATTTAAGGTGCAGTTGGTAACTATAACGGTCACTTTGCTAGTTTACCGAGAAGCTATCTGATCTGCCGTTATTTGTACTCCCTGTTATACTTGTTCTCTAAGAGGAATCTGTCTCTACCATTGACCTATCTGAGAAGCTTGTTGACCATCAACTCCCTTGGAATGGCAGCATCCTCACTAGACTCTTGCGTACCATTTGTATTATTTTCGTGCTGACCCATCTGAACACGATGTTTGCATGTGTGGTGAAACCGTTGTTTCAGGTTAAATTTCTTGATTGCTCATGGACTGTTCAAACCCACTCAATTTTCGCCTGATTACTAGTTTTGTTTGGGAATATGCACTCACTCATCGATTGCTTGACTTATGTTTTCGGTTATGGCACTTGAGGTACAGCGAATTATTTGATATTTCAGGCAAGATTCATTTGCAGGTTTGCGAACTAATGACCTGACTCGGAAACGCTTGAATTCGATGTGTTTTCAGGTGATCATCTTCGGAAATGTTTGTCGTCACTATGTGCTATATGAATATTACTCCCAGCCTTTACTGAGAAATCCAGACACACTTTGCTCACTGGAGTTCACGTGTGCACTGTACCGCTTACTGCATTTTACATTCTTCGGACATCCTTGAACAGATGATCATCACTGCTACCGCTCACAGTTGCATGTCATACAGGCTATCAAATTGTACGTTGACTGCACATTTTTAATGAATTCCGCTCTTGGAATGTGAGATCACTTTCGTTTCGTTGGGAACTGGAGAACGGATGTGTGTATCGTTGACAGCGGAAACTTTCATTCATCACTGAGAGGTGGCCCGGATGCGTTGGTCGTTGCAGTACCACTTGCGAAGTAGTTTCTCAGTCTTCTGCCTTTGTGCACCAGTTTTAATTTGCTTGACAGTATTGATCGGAGTTGATACTGTGACCGATCCTAGCACTCAACTTTTGTGATTTGATGAGAATTCCGATTTCGTCCGATGCGCACTTGATGTAGGTGTGATGGATGATATGTGTGCTTGAATGTGTACAGAAAGCCGACCTTATGTGGCTGAGTGTAAGCAGTTCGTTGCAGATAGGAATGAAGCCACTACTTTAAACCATGTTGGAAATTCCGAAAACTTTGTCCGCATTATTACCGCCACCTCGCTGATATCGGACTTCCTTTCGTGAACCCATCCCGCCGTTTCCGACTTTTTGAATGTGCGGAGTCTGTTTTGTTTCCACTCTGGCTTGAACGTTTTTTTTACAGACAGTTCGCATGCAGCTGCTACCCAGAAAATTCACGCAACATCGTTGATCGTGTGCTCTTCCATCGCCGGATGTTTGCTACTTGTCGGTTGTGGCGTACGATGCGGATGAGCTGTTGTTTGCATTCTCTTCAATCCGGTCTTGTGGTTGTGAAAAATCTTACTCTTTTATGTTCTACGATCACCGCTTCCTACAGAACGTGTTTCATTTTCCAGTTGCAGCATTCTTGGGAGGACTTCTTATCTAATTGATGGAATTCTTACGAAATCATTGCTCCTGAAGTGTTCCGGATGTTTGTCTCTCAATCCACAGACAACAGGTTCTGGTTTGTTTTAGGTACGGGCATCTTCGCAGTATCTGAGCACGAATGCAGTCGCTGTCGCGTCTGTGGGAGTGCAACGCTTCGGTACGGAGTTCTGACTTACTGCTGATTCTTTTTGTAAATAAGCCGGAAAGCAAGCCTTTTTGTGTGCAGATATCGTCGTGCAGCAAAATCGACCGCGTCCTCTGCACAAGCTACAAATACGATCACTGTGCACTTCTGATACTACTGTTATCGCTTTGACGTTTCGCCCCCCTTTCGAATTCAATACGGATCTTGCCCATCACACCACTGTTCTGTGTAATGCACATTGCTATCGTGCATTGCTGGACTTCGCGTGCGGCTGGTTTCACTCATAAACTTTCGGACGGTCCAGCTTGATGTTCACTTCTACTTCTCTACAAGCCACTTTGAGTTGATCGATTTTTGCGATATATACTTGTGGTCGTAACATCCCTTATTTTGTGTTTATGTGATCCCAAGCGATCCATCACCCACAT